GACACGACAGTGTGCTGCTTTCACAGAAAAAGAAAGCCAGTGATTTCGAAAGAAGACAAAGGGAGGGAAAAGAAACGGGTGGTGATATATTCAAAATGCAAAATGACTCAGATTGGATTGACTGGAACTGGTAAACTCGTTGTTGTATGTTCAAATCCTACATTCCAGAAATCAAGCCATAATAAAAAAACAGAGTTTGATCCTGGGTCAGAATGAACACTAGCAATATGCTTAACACATGCAAGTCGAACGTTGTTTTCTCAGTTGAAAGCAAAGTGGCGAATGGATGCGTAATGCGTGGGAATCTACCAAACAGTTTAGGAAAAATCCCATATAGTCAATAGGGATGGCGCCTACGTCAACGTGGCCCTTATGGGTATGGTTATAATGAGGAATTGATTCTTATAAATGTATTTAAATTTATTGAATTGAATATGCCTCTTCTAACTTTCCCAGGCGCCAGGGTGCCTATCGGATGCCCGGTGAGGTGCCCAGGTGCTCGGGCGGGCATTGCCTCTGGATGGGGCTCAGGGCGCCACGAGCACCAAAAAAAGAAAAATGGTTAGGGGATATTGGACACTGATTTCCGGCCTGGCAGCTGGAGAGTAGCTTTTGCTTTGTCAGGCTGCTTAGCCAGAACTAAAGAAAAGGAAAAGGTGGCAGGTTAAAAAGCCTGCTGCGTTTGTTCAAAAGTTTTGATTAATGAACAAATCTATACACTAATATAATAGCATCGCTACGCCGGACCCGGACATTTCCGGACATGGAACCGGACCTGTGTCCGGTAGTTTCCGGACGTGCGGAGTTCCGGACATTTCCGGACCTCCGGACATGGGGATCCGGACGGTCCGGATGCTGGACAGGTCCGGAAATGTCCGGACCATTAAAAAAAAAAATCTGAAAAAAAAGTATGTTATGCAGAATGACAATGCAAACCACTTTTGCCTCAGAGTCATGTCAGAATTCCTAACCAAAATTGAGTTAAAAGTCAAAACTATATAAAAGATTTAAAAAAAGACTTTAAAACTAATAAAAGGTAATAAATTATTAATAATTAAAAATTTGGGGTTGTCTAATGAATTTTTATAGAGAGAGAGCATGTCCGGACCCCCCAAAAAAGCATAAATGGGCCTGAACCCCCCCCCAAAAAAAAACAATTTTGGGGGCTTGGCTCCTCAATGGGGAAGGGGCCTGGACCGTTTTTTTTTTCTTTTGTTTCCCCCTCGAAATTTGGCAGATCCGGACCTTCCAGACCGGACGTTTGGACTCCGGACTGAATCCAGACCGTCTGGATGGTGGTCCAGACGTCCGGATCGTAGCCATGTATAATAGCAATAGTACGGTTTCCCATGCCAACATTGCCAAGTTACTTTCGTTAAGTATGTTTTTCAAAATTGTACATCTAATCAAGTGTTCCCCCCCCTAAATCTCTATTAATTAGAATGTAAAAGTTTTGGTCTTTTGACTCTTTTCAGCGTGTTTGTATTTTTCATCTATTCGGTGAATCTGGACAATGATTAAATTTAATACCTGTGTAGCATCGTGTTCTGGTTCGGTGACCGAACCCGAACGATCGGGACCAAATGCGAACGAGTGCCGAAACTCTCCGAACCTCGAGTTCAAAATCCGAAACCAAAAAAACAAGTTTTTTTTTTTTTTTTGAATATGTTTGGCCGAACACGTTCGGGAGGTGTTCGGCCGAACACCCGAACATGTTCGGACGTTCGGAAAGCTCCGAATATGTTCGGTGTGCTACACAGTTCAATACCAAATAACAGGCGTCCTGAAGTCTGCCCGTTAAAATGGAACTGTATAGAGATTATTTGTCATTCGCTCTATTCTTTGGGACGTCCGTTAAAATTGGAACAATACAGAGAAGATTAGCATGGTCTGTGCACAAGGGTGACATATAGGTATTAGCATTCTCCCCATGCAAGAATGACATACAGAAATCAAGAAATGGTAAGAATGTTAAACACAGTTTACTATCCAGAAGTTCAGAAAGAATCCCAGACTACCATTCCTAGTCTTCTTGATTGCTCTAGGTACTATTCTCCTGCTCGTGTCTACACTTCCTAGTTTTCTTGATTTCTCTAGTTACTATTCTCCTGCTCCTCGAAGTCACTATCAATCCTCTCCCCTTCCTCCTCCTCCTCCCTACCCTGCACCTCCTTGCCTTCCATCTCCTCCTTACCCCCCATCTCCTCCTTGTCCTTCTCCTCCTCCCCAAGCTACACTCCCGGTGCAGCGGCTGTCATCCTGGTTCTTGAAGTTAGTATTGATCTTCTCCATCTCTTCCGCTTCCGTCATTATTAGTGTCCTACTGTCTCAGTCTTCGTTCCCCATCATGGTTGTCCCCATCATCATGGTCCTTGTCCTCGTCTTGAAGGGTAACATGAATTGTCTGTGACAACTGCTTCCTTCTTGATGTGCAGCACTTTCACGGTGAACGACCTTCTTGATGGACAGAACGATTCCCTGTGGACACTAGACTCGCCTGACCCTTGCTTAGGTATTGGTGCCCTTGTGACCCATCCACACCCTAAATGCCCTCTGCCTCCCGCACAGTTTTGGCATGCCTGACGTCTCCTTGCTAGAATTGGTGTTTTCTTCCCCCCCTCTCTGCCCTCTTTCTGTAAACAATGGTATTCCTGTTGCTAGGCTTGCAGTGCAGCGAAAGTTTAAGTTCTTATCGGGCGTGCCAGAATCAGGGCCTATTTTGCTTTCCCCGCCCCCCTACCCACCCCCCACCCCCTATCTTTGGTTTCCTGTGGGCATGTGTGTGGGGGTCGGGCGAGGGGTTCGGGGGGGGTGTCTGGATAGTCCCAATTGAATGAAGGGAATTAGACAGGTGGTGCTCTGTTTTCTTTTTGAACTGGGTACCTACAGCCCATTCATTTGTGATTTTGTACCCTTCCTTACCAAGGTGGTGCGCTGTTGTCATTTTTTTTCTTCTCTCTCTCTCTCTCTCACTTTTTCTCTCACTGACAATGACTTGATACCATTCTGTGTTGCCCTTCTCATTTTCATGTTTTGCGGTGTGTTGTCAGTTCTTTCCAGCTTTCTTGATTTACTGTCAGTATTTTGAACTTTTTCGGTGAAATTGTGTGCGCACGAGGCGGTAGGCATGGGCATGATGTCGGCGGTGCTAAAAGTGAGACAATGAAATATTCCTGTTTCTATCTACGACGCTACTGTCAAGTGTTTTTTCTTTTTTGAAGATTTAAACCGTTGCTCGATTTATGCGTGTCATTTTTGCGCACGGTCATGCTAATTTTCTCTGTATCGTTCCAATTTTAAGTTTTAACAGATGTCCGGAAGGACGCTACTGTGAAGTGTAAGTTCGTCTCTTTGTGATTTTTACTTTCAATTTTCTATGCTCTTTCTTTTTCTTTTTCAGGGAAAAGGCAGTTCAATGTGTCGGCTTGTGGCGGTGACGGGGCCTTCGAGCGGATTGGAAGAGTGGCCACAATCATTGGGCGTCGGAATTGTGAGTAGAGGATTGAACAAATGTTGTTGTACTGTTGTACATCCATATCATGATGGAGCTAAGCGACTCGTTCGTCATTTTCAAAACCGTAATTAGTCTTCAAATTAGTGTGATCCCTACACTTGTAAACGTTCCTAATGTGAGAATTTTGGCATCCAGGCTGTTCGCGGACCTACCGGGCCGACGACCCGAATTGCCCGCGATCTTAAGATTTTAAGATCGCGCGGCGATCCAGGCCGTTCGCTGTCCTACCGGCCCGACAGCCCGGATTGCCCTGCGATCTTAAAACTTTAAGATCACGGGGCAATCGGGGCCGTCTGCCCGGTACCGGTTGGCCAATGGCCCAGATTAGAAGTTCGCAGGCAAGAAAATGTCCCGGGCTTCTCCCCTATTAGGTAGTGCCGAACGAGGCACGAACTCGGTTGCCGGTAAATGAACTGCGCCGCCGTTCGACCGTTTGGCTGCACAGCAGCAACACACACCACACAGACATCACATGGACACCACACGGACGCATGCACATGCACAGACACACATGCATGCGTGCACATGCATCATGGGCAGACTGTCGGGGTTCAACCAACACACACACGGACATCACACGGATGCACGCACGCGAACGCAAGCGCACATGCACGGACACACATGCGCACATCCACATGCATCCTGGGCAGACTGTCGGGGTTCAACCTCTTGATGAGTAGGTGAAAGTCCGGCGAAACAGTCTAGCACAGTCATGCTTTTCTTTGTGGAGTTGTGTATAGCGAACGTGACAATAAGAATGCATGAATACACACACGCACCCACACGCACGCCCACACACGCGCACACAATAGTGTCCATGTGTTTGTGTGTGTGTGTGTGTGTGTGTGTGTGTGTGTGTGTGTGTGTG